TTATACTTGTACGATCTCTCAAAAAAAATATTTGGCAACACTGGTCTCTTTACAAACGACGTAGACCTGTAGTTAACATCTGAGACGCTAGATGACGCCATCGTTGCTGGGGTCGTTGCGTTTCCAATCTTTATGTCCCTAATCTCTGCTGTAAAAAAACTAACAGTAAAAACGTATATGTCAAATTTATTGATGAGTGGCACAAATTTCAATGTGGTTTGTATAGTGTAAAATTGGTTAGAGAGAACAAAAAGACCACGTATTAAACCTGGAAAAGTTTAAAATGTTAATTAAAATTTCTAACGTGGTAATAATAACTAATAATTAGTAAATTTTGTTAGCTTTCCTAGACAAGTGTAGGTAATTTAAAATATATTTCAACATTTATATTGTTAAAATTAACTTTTCAATTATAAACTACCTACCTACATTATCTTGTAACTCTTAATGTAAACCATGTGTCTGAAAACACCATTAGATCAATTCCAATTCTAATCGCTTTAGTTGCATGTACTCATATTGTTCTATCAGTTAAACATTTTCACAGGTATTGTTTAGATCTTTTACATCTTTTAACCATATTTATATCCTTGTTCTTCCTGGTTCTATTGTAACAATGGTAAACTCACCGATTCTCGTTTCATACTTGTTCCCTAAAGTGATTCGACCATCTATGTAGTTCTAGCTCGAGGCTGTTTTATCTCTATTACGAATATCTTCTTTTAGTTGTAGTCCCCATAAGTTATAAAAAATCCCTAGAACAGTTTTAAGAATTTTCATTTCTACTATAGGTACTTTAGAACTGATCATTTATCTGCTATTTATGTAGATAGTATCGGATATCATTACTATGATATAAACAATAAACGATCATTCATGAAGACAAAATATTATGCTTCACGTTTTCATTTTTATATTTTCTTTCATAAAATATCAAATTATGGGTGATTTGTCCCGAAGGACATTATCTGCGAAATGAATAGAAGAAGAACTAATCAAATTCTAGGTTAGATATATCAAATTAACCCGCTATAATTTACCCAAATTGGCCAGCAGTGTTGCACTTCCGGTCTCCTTGATGGAACGGATTTCAAGTATGTCAAATATAGCCTATATCCTATCCAGTAAAATAATACAGATCAGTGAATAGGGCCATATACACTTGAACTTACCCGTTAGAAAACCTATAAAGTATCTTTTATTGGTGTGGCTACCGATGCAAGCACACAGAATGCAGTAAAAGTGTTTCCAATTGTCCTACAATATTTTGACTTTCAAAAAGGCGGTATTCAAACTCAATTATTGGATATTAAGAGCACTTTAAATGAAACTTCAGAAACAATTTCTGATCTTATTTTAGATGTTTTGTACAGACGATCTACTAAAAAAATATGTAACATTTTCAGGAGATATCTGTAACATGTGGAAGGTGGGTTAACACACGGCACTCTGGCCTCACTAGGTCGATTGTGCAACCTCCTAAGTAGACATCTCCTAGCTCCTGAGCCAACCTACAGGTTTAATGTAGTTGACAACGTCGTCAAGAGGTGCTTCTCATATACCGGGCGGTGTTAGCCAATTCTCGCCGAACACAAATCTTCTAGCTTATGGAAGATATATCTCGGTGAGATGGAGTTCATTTTCATTTGAGGCAGTCGGGGCGTATCGAGCACCTCCTGCCAAAAGCGGCTTCTCACCTCACCACATCCTCCATCAGATTCTATTCCAACCGTGCAGAGGCGTGTCATTGTAATCAGAACAATCTCCTTGATGTAAATATCAAGGGGAGTGAGACTACGAATGGCTTCCATGGCTCTGGTCGGTGTAGTATACATGGCTCCTGTTACGTTGAGACATTCTGTTCTTTGAATTTGTTCTAGTTTGCGGATAGCTGTCAATTTTTGGGTGTTCGGTACCCAGACAACTGTACTGTAGGTTTTATGATGGCTGTGTAAGTCCATGCGACGACTCTGAGGGATAAACCCTAGGTGGGCCCACGGTTCGACGGCATTGTTCATAAGCAATGTAGAAACCTAGGTACTTCACCTCTGTTGCAAAGTTTAGTTTTGTTTAAAGTTCTGGAGGTTTTAATTCCATTTTTATCCATTCCCTTGTGAAAAGGACCATCTCTGTCTTCTTAGGATTGATAGACAGTGAATGGTCCTTGCACCACTGTTCTATAATTTTGAGAGCTACTTGCATTCTTTCGCAGAGTATGTTCTCAAAATTCCCTGTTTGCAGAATGACCAGATCATCTGCATATGCTATTGTGTAGTGACTGTCATTATTGAGGCGGTTGATGAGGGCGTCAAGGACCATATTCCACAGTAGAGGTAATGGCACACCTCCCTGTGAACACCCCCTCGCAACCAAACCTCTTATATTCACATCTTCTACACTTATGTTTACTGCTCGCTTTGAGAGCATGTTATGTATCCACCCACTAACCATTTGTGGAACATTTCTGTTGGTTAGTGTAGTGTTAGGTACTCTTATATACAATGTATTATCTTTAGGAAGGTGGTTTTATCAAAAGCACCTTCTATGTCTATGAAAACACCCAAGGCAGACTCCTTATTGTCCAGGAATCTTTCTATCCGGTCAGCAACTAGATGAAGGGCTAAATCAGTAGATCTGCCTGGGGTGTATGCATGTTGGTTTGGGTGTAGTAGTGTTGTAATCACCGCATCCCTTATCTACCTTTCACATAGCCTTTCCAATGTCTTCATGGAAAACGATGTCAGACTAATTGGTCGGTATGTTTTTGGGACAGTGTGATCCATCCTTCCAGGTTTGGGTATAAATACCACTTTTACCTCTCCATTTTCTTGGGGATATACCTCAGAGCCAACGAGGATCTGAATATACCCACCAGGTGCAGTGCGAGTTCTTCCAGACCCCACTGAAGTGGGACTGGATATTTAAATGAAGAGAAGCTGGATATTGCTCATCTAATTTTTTCATCGTCTAAAATGTGTTTGTTTGGCAGTTTGCCAATCATAGACAGATGGATTGTATTCTTCCTCCGCCCAGTCCGCCTCGTCTGTGATGACCGAGCCAAGGAAGTGTGTTGACAGCAGAAGTTTGATGCTATCTTCGAGGTTGGCAGTTTTCGTGCCATCCTCTTTGATTTGCGCACCAATACTTCGGTGTGGATCGTTTGAGAGAGCTTTTTGAAGCCTCGCTGCCTGCGGGAAATCTTTGATTTTTACGCAGTAGGATCTCCATGCATCTCTCTGTTTTTGTCTGACGATTTTTTTGTATTCCAATCCTCTTTGAGTTTTGTGGTTGTTGCCTTATTAAAAGATTTCCTAGCCATCTTCCTGAGGTGATCCAACTCGTGACACCATCATGTGGTAGTCGTCTAATCGTGTTGGACCAGCCTCAGAGGACAGGATTTCTTATAGGCATTGTTTATTGTGCTTTGGATAGTGTTCGTGTACTTTTCAAAAGCAATATTATTGTTTGGTGTTTCGGCCGAGAATAACCAAACGCCGAGAAGCGACAGCTTTGTCCCCAGACAGCACACGACATCTTAAAGATGTCTGTTTTATGTCGTAGTTATGACTGAACGCCTAAAGACCTAAAAAAGACGTTTTAAAGACGTCTTTTAGGACACATAAATAGACGTCTTAAAGACGTCTTTTAAATGCCTATCTATTTAAAAAATAATGGTAACATTAAAAAAAGTACTGGCTTACTTGTCCTTTCTAATTTCACAAAATATAAATTTATTTTTAAATTTTTTTTTATTAATTTACCTTATTTTTTTTTATTTATTCACGAGCATTTGTTCATTAGAGTAACTAAATATTTGATAACATAAAAATAATAATAATAAATATAACTCTAAATAAAATTAACAATTAAAACATATTAAGACAAATTGAATTACGCGCTCTTTCAACTTGACCGGAACTTGGTTCAACGATCGAAGCGAATGTTTTTATTATGCTTTGTCTCTTTTCAACAGTAGAATTTAAACAAGGACGTGTATCTGAATGTGAGTATTATTGGGGTTCCGTGGTTCGCGGCATCGTGGCGTTGGCGTTTTTCTTTTGTTGTCATTTGTCGTTGAAGATAAGATGAAAGCTGAGAGGTTAGTTTTTTCGTTATTCATTGATTTTTTTATTTATTTTTAAAGATGTCTTTAAGACGTCTTGCCGGCGTCATAAGACGTCTTTTAGACATCTGTCATGTCTCTGACAGACGTCTTATGGACGTCTTTAAGATGTCTTTGTGCTGTCTGGGTCATCGGAACGTTTGATGTTCGTGGGGTCGATTTGCGGTGACCTTGAAGACACCATAATTACACCGCACGCAAGCTGAATTGGCTCGCGATCGCGCGGAAATTTGTAATTTACACTGCTCAACTCTAAATATGTTTTTAGTAAGGGAGTAAATTTTTATTTTGCATTTAAAATTATATAATTCAAAACAGTCGAAACTACAGTTGTTGCGCTCGGATCAAAATCGCTGGACACCTTCATATACGGTGTCGCGCTGATCTAGCTGGCCACATGCAAATAGACACCATATTTTCGATCATGCGCCGTCGAAAACCGAGCCGACGCGAAAGAGTCTTTGTCGCTTCTCGGCGCGTTTGGTTATTCTCGGGTTTCCGCCTCCATCTCTCTCACAGCCTCTTGGAGAAGGTGGGCATAGGTTGCCCTGTCCGTCTTCCTATGGTTAAATTCAATCTTCCCGTCCGTCAACACTTGCGCTATTTATATAAAGCCCAAATCAGAATACTCTCGTTTTTTCCACAACAATCGAGAACTGTCTCTCTATGACTCATATGCCGCAAAGGGATCACTCCGCTAGTTTCTCGAAGCGTAAGCGGCATACCTAGAATATTCCGGGACTTTGACGGGTGGCAGACTTCAAGGTCGTGCTCTACAGAGACGGCTTAGGCATTCCCATGACAATACAATGAAATCATCTCATCTCTTTAAATGTTCTAACAACAAATATTGAACCAAAGGAAATAAAAAATAAAATGTTTTTATTGCTTTTTTATTAATCGGCTTTGATACATCTTTTTATAAAGAAAAATATAACTTATGCAAAAAATATCTATTCATTAATCAAAAATGGAAATATATGTTTTCAATAATATTTCACTTTTTATAGAATGAAAAGTAAGTAAGGTAATTCGGAGAATTTTAATTTTGTCGCCCAGATGATGTATATTATTGAAAACAAATTATTTTTTGGTAAACAATCACTATTGTTAAACCACATTCATTCTTAACTCACAACACAATCTTAAAGTACAAGAGTAGGTCGGCGTCCAGACCAAAAATATATTAAAAATTAATCAAATCGACCATTAAAGTATCAGAGATTTTATTACAAGTAGTGTAACTAGATGTAATAATATTCGTTTAAGAAAATTAGTTTTTTTATTCCCTCAATATAAATAATAATGCCGAACTAAAAATTCACTAAAAACGATTTTTCATCAAAATGTCATTACATTTTCAATATTAGACTGCAACTGTTTTGAAACACGTATTATATTTTAATACCAAATTTTTGAATACATAATAAAATTCAAATTTAAATGGTGTCATAGAAAAAAACCAAATTTTGATGATAGTGAACTTTAAAAAAAAAAACTAATTGGAACGCTATTTTTTTGTTGCTTGCTTTCAAGATCAATTTATAGAAGTAACATTTTGATAAAACCGCAAATTAGAACTGAATATAAACCAAAGATTCATATTTTAAGTTTAAAACTCGTTTTTCTTTTTATAAAATGACTCAAAATCAAAACTTTGATTTGTAAGTAATCGCCTTTAATATAAGTATAAAAATTACAAAATAAAAATATTTAGATCAAGAACGAAAAGAAAAAGATGAACTAAACATTTTGACAGAAATCATGTTTTGAGATAAATCCGAATCGAACAACAGAATTAAAGTTTTAACCCGGACTTCATATCCAAATTGAGATTAAATGTCAACATTTCAAAGATAAAATCAAAATAATTTTTTTTGTCCCCCAAAGCCTGATTAACTATTTATAAAACAAAATTGTTAACTGTCTTCAATAAAATTATACTTATGTATAATCAAACATTTAATGAAGGTTAATTTTTTGGGGATATTGGTAAGAAGAGAGTACTTTTTAACCAGATAAAAGCTGATATGAATAAAGCTGAGTATGTACTTCATGCTAATAATTCTGAAGAAAATACTCCAATCTGTATGAAAAAAAAAAAAAAAAAAAAATTAAAGGTAGTTGCTAATCATGAGTAGGTAACTAGGTACTCTTATGTACAATTTTTAGTGAGTATAAACTTAGTTTTCTTATGAATAAAAATAAATTTGTGCTCAAAATCTGAGTTTCTACTCCATATAAATGGAGTTTTCTTGGAAGGAAACTCAGTTTCAGTTTGACAATAAAGAAGTGATGGCTGAGTGCTTAGTGCAAAGAAATATAAACCAAGAAAAACCACTTGCGACGGTGTTCTATTGTTTTACAAAAGAAAACAAAGTGAATGTCAAATTTTTGGACGACGAGTCCAATGAAAGAAAAGGCGGTGCGATATGTAAAATTGACAAACTAAAAATATTCTTGAGTTATGTAGCAGACCCAGATTTTGAATCTGGGGTATAAGAAGATTCGCGAGTCCGCCATCTTCTGTTTCAAAAGTTGTGATGCAGGTTATAAATAAAATTATCGAAAAAACTAGCTCTTAAAAAACATTTCCTCAGAATGCTGCAGATATATGTATGTGCAAAGAAAAGTTACAAACAAGACATTATTTTTCCTGTGTAGTAGGTGTACTCACATAAGTATAAAGAAGCTTCTTGGTCAAGGAAATAAATACATTAATGTCCATGCCACATGCAATTCAAATGAATGGCTTTCAAGCATAGAGGCCTCATGGCCCAAATCTGTTTGTGATGCCGGAATATGGTGCAACAAAACAGTCGAGCTAGGCGTAGCCAGTAAATAGGAGTATCTGCTTACTTTTATAGGAGGATCTACTCGCGTATAAACGCCTGCTGTTTTATGCTCATGCTCTTGAGTATATGCTCAGAGTATAAACTTAATTTTTATTCATATCATCCAAAATCTCATATCGTCCCTTCTTGGGAACAAACACAAAAATACAAATAATTTATAGATATTTTAAAGAATATTGGGGTTGAAGACAAATTTTCAGAAATCCTTATGTCCTGAAAATTTGTGCTATTGCGTCAAAATGTAGTTGTTTGGTTAGAGCAAGAGAGGGTTGCACAAAGTTGTAATAAGATACAATTTTAATACAAACCCTCCATAAACACATTGTGGGTTAGGAATGGGACCAAAAATTACCGCTTACATAGTTTTAGTCATGAATAAGATACAATTATCTTGGATGCTATAGAACGGAACAGTTGGACCCAGACAAATAAATAAACAATTCTAAAAATAAGATCTGTGTTATTAATGTTTAGAGTCTGATATAATGTAGGGTTGCGGTACGGATTTTAAAAGCTGCCATACAAGTTGAAGTACTTGGGTATCCTATTAGTGAGTAATTGTTCAATATTTTCATTTTTGTTATAGACAGGTAAACAAATTTTAAACAAAAGTTATATGGACTTGAAATATTCATATTTTAAAAATATTTTTGGATATATAGGGCTGGACACACCTCTAACTCTAGAGCAGTTATACGCGAATGATGAACATTCCTATGTAATTGTAATTTACATAATATATGCACCTTTTATTGTTCAAGATAGTTGCTGCGCTAGATTATTGGATCAATTAAAACATGGCTATTATATCCTTCGCAAATTTTAAAATGGGAAATAAGCTATACTGAACATACGATTATTTTTTAAAAGATTAATTTTTTTTAATAGCCTAAATAAAAGAACGTTCAGTTGTACCCGATTTATGAATATTTTGTGGCAGGACTTTTAATAACAAAATTATTACAAAACGTTTAAATAAATATAGGTCGGCAAAGGCTTAGTTATCAAGATACATGATGTTTCAAATTAAACGTTCAAATAGGATTTTGTTAAATATTTTAAACATTTTTTAATAAATTGCTTCAAAAGTTGTTATACAATGGTTTTTTGAAATGGGATGTCATTTCTGGACTCGCTCTAGGGACGCTCTCAGTATTGTACTATTTACAGATTAAAATGACCATACTTTCTTATTTCTTGTATTTTTATAATCAAACAGGTCCTCTTTTGAAAATCATATAAACTTTTTCAAATTTACTTGGCTTTTTATTGTTGTTTGATTTAACCTACAGCAACAGCTGTGCAAACGATAGATCAACTGATTAATATGATTAGGGATGCCTGTAATCAAATAATATTTTTAAATATTATTATACACTCATAAAATAGGATTTTTTTATTTAAAAGTACTGAGAAAACGTTATGGTAATTTTAACCCATAGAGCAAAATAACGAAAGCCCACTAGTGGTTACGGTTACCAAAAAAAAATCCGTTCTCCAACTTTTTAATTCAATACGTTAAAAAATGTTTAATAAGATATATAAGAAAAAATATAAAATTTAATTTGTAGAAAGTTAAGCATTTTCGGACTTATATGTATTTAAACTTTTCGTATTAATTTGAAAAGTTAAATCGAGTGTTAAAGCCCTGCTACAAAAAAATTAAACACCCTGAAATAAAAATACCGTGTTCGAAATATATCTAAAAAATTGTTTGTGTCAAATTAGTTGAAGGTATACCAAATTTCTTTGGAATATTCGGATCTATAATGTACCTGGACGCCGACCTATTAAGTAACACAGACAGATTACAGTTTGTCGTCAATTCCAACTGCGATTCTGTTTAAGTCGTGGATACTTGCTGAAGACGAGCTGGAGAGTTCGCTGAAAGACTGTTCTAGACAATGTTTGAGTTCGGCATAAGATACAACAAGGACGCTTTGTTCGTCGCGAGATATCAAACTGATTTTTTCTGGAACACCGACGTCCAGTTTGTTCAAACATTGAACGATGTGCGCCATATCGAGCCATGGGTTGCCGTCTTCTTGAACTTGGTGAAAAACGTAATCCCGGAACAACTTTAACATGTACCTAAAAAAAATTAATATCGGTAATTAAATGTTTCTTGGTAAATCTTTTTTTGATCAGCTATCATAAGAGACAAAATAATTTATTGAGTCACAATTAGATTAAAATAATATTGACCAATTGGTCAAATACACCATTGCTTGAATAGCGGATATTACTAATGAAATTTTACAGTAAGCTTCTAAACTATAAAACGCAATATAAAAATTTTGGGTCCGCTAGTTCAAGTTCATAAGTCTGGAACATAAAAAATGTTAATAAAATCATTTTAATTGATTTATTATAGTAGAAACGATTAAAAATAGCAATATTAGACTATCCATAGAGCAATAAATAATTCCTTTTGTATTTATTTTATTCTAGCCTAACTTATCTTGGATTGAAAAACTTAATAACGTCGTTGATTCTGTAATATCTACTATGTGAAAAATATTATTATGTAAATCCTGATACATATATCAGCTATTACTGTCTATAGTTTGAATGTTGGCACATAGTGTTTTATTATTTGATTTATAAAATCAACGGATTGTTTGTAGCACATATCAGGTTATTACCAACCGATGCACGAACGTTAATTTAGCTGGAATACAACCAAACCTAAAATTCGCCATTAAGTGCTCAAAGCAGGTATTGCATAATCAACGACGATAAACTAATGTTCTACTCACTGGTGTACCTTAGAGTCTAATTAATTAGCTACAATCAGGGGCGATTTCTCCATTGGTTCATTTGTGCAGTGAACACCCAGTTAAATTTCATAAAAACACATTATTTTAAAATAACATAAAAATATAAATTAAATTTTAACAGTTTTATTATTTTTGTACGTGTTAATGTATAATTGTTTGGTACGCCACTGCGCTCTGACTGGTCACGTCTGTCGGTGCAATATGCTGATTAAACGCGAGACGTTTCCGCAAATGCCTGTAGTTAAAAAGAGGGGTCAACAGATCTGTGAAACAGTGTGCCCACAGTTAACTTCGCTTGGTCAGGTCACTCTGACTGGGGGCCTTTGATCCAACGTTTTCACATTTACTAGATTTCTACTGTTTTGGTAGTTTTTGCTTTTTTGGTTAGTTTTTAGTTTTAGACCATTTTTTTTTGGTAGATTTTAGTAGATTTCTATAAATTAATAAAAAAATTCGAATTATTCAAATAAAATTTTCCTAAAAACTATAGGTTATTACTATCCAAATAAATAATCGCTCATCGATTTAATATTAATCGGTTATTTTTGATTAATCGATTCATTTCGATTAATCGATTATTTTCGATCAATCGATTTTTTCGATTAATCGATTATTTTATTTGAGTCATGATACACAGACTAACGGTATGTTCCTGCGCATGCAGCTGACTGACGGTGACGTCACGTGGGACATAGAATTATAAGCAATAAATGGGAGATAGTGTTTAAAATTCGATATTTTTCCAATTTTAGATTTAATGCAGTTACATAAGCTTTATTGGTTATTTTGTAATATATTAGTTTACAAATATAAAGGTTTAAGGTAAATAATACTACACTGCACGTCAAAGAAAACAGGCCACCTAAAATTTTTACGAAATAATTCATCTTTTTAAATATATCTTATTTTTATAACAATAAATCTATTTTGGATTAAGTCAGTAATTGTTTTACCATGTTATCCGATGTTACCATAAGTCACAAACGAAAAGAAAGCAAAAAAATTGAGAAATAAATTTATTGAAAAATTAGTTACAGTTTACTTTGCAATAATTAAATTAAAGAGGCAAGAAATGGCGGGGATCACTTTTCAATATGGCGTATTGCCACCCCGATTCTGGATGACACTTCTCATTCGATTTGGCATAGAAATCAGCAAGGTCTGAATGTTTGCTTGAGGAAAAGTGGTCCATTCATCAATATGGTCCAACTGAAGCTCTTTGCGTGTTATTGGAACTGGTATGCGACGTCTTACACGCCTTTTGAGCTGGTCCCAACCAGCTGGGAATACCAACCTCTTCAAGGTATTATGTTACCATCCTTGCCGTGTGTGGTCGTGCGTTATCCTACATTAGCAGCAAATCATTGCCAACAAATCCAGCATATGGCATTACATGCTCTTCTAGGAATTCTTACGTATTATTGTGAGTTAATGCGCCTCTAGCAATAATAAAGAGATCCATGTGTGCCTCAAAAGAAATTCCTGCTCAAAACATTACTGAGACACCCCCAAAAGCAACTCGAGGTGACCGAGTACAGGCAGCATAACGTTCTCCAGCTCTTCTGTGAACCTTATTTCGCCCATCTCTTCCATATATGCACATTCTACACTCATCCGTGAACAGTATATTTGTCCAATCGTCCACTGTCAAACCACTTTCTCTTAACCTTCGCCAAACAGTAGAAGTGCTGACTGCCGTTCCATGAGCTTGCTGAAGACTGCTTTGGAGCATTCTAGCAAGAAACCGTTGATGTGTTCTTTGCACAGTCGAACGGCTGATATTTAATTGTCTCGCCACATTCCGTTGACTTGCTCCATTTTCCAATAATGTTACAATTTGAATAACTCTTCGATATTTTTCACCCATTATTAAAGATTACATGTTACTCTATGAAGACCAGTGTAGTACAAAAATACCTTTAATACTCTTTAGAACACAATACAAGTTACTAAAGTTCTCAAAACGGTCAGTTTCATGAAACTTAATTGACGGGTAAAAAAGTATTCTGATAAATTTTTGGTTTACTCGGTTCCTAAAATTTGTTTATGATCTTTATATGGTAGGCATGACTGCAAGTACGCAAACTAACACGTTTTACGTAATTAAAAAATAAGAAACTTAACAAGACAGATAATTTCGTAATTTTTTTGGGTGGCCCGTTTTCTCTGACGCGCAGTGTAATAAAAATATTATTTTTTTTCATAAATTATAGGTATTTTGTGACAAAATCCATAACCTGGCCATAAGATAAGTAAAAAATATAGACTAAAAATACAAGTTTGACTCAAATTTGAACTTTCTGGGCGTGGTAGTTCTCTTGCAATCTCTTTTCTTATTATATAAAATAAACAAATTATTTATTTATTTATAAAAAGTAAGTACACAAAAAAATTACTTTTTATTTGGTAAATTTAAACATTTTTTGTCAAGTTTACTTTGAAAATACTCAAAACCAATTTTTCTGTTCATTTATCTTATTCTTATATATTTTCATGTCCTGCTCATGCATGGCATTACTTCACAAGGACCGTTGTATTGGGACAGGAAACTACTGTTTTATCTGCTAAAATTTTAAAATACCGATTTATTTTCTTTGCTTAATGAGGCCCGTGCACCTGGTGGAAATCAGTTTCCTTTTCTTGCGTCTATGTTTAAGAGGAATCTCACAACTACTTTCCTCACAGTGGATAGGGCAACTTCAATTAAGTTTGTCCTTTCTTCGATAAAACTTTACCCATATTTTGGTGCATTCGGAAATATATCCTCCGCGCAGCCCGGCATTTTAAACATTAATTTAGTTCTTACCCGTTATATATAAGAAAATATAGTTTCTACTAACACAAAATCACATAAATTATTAAATTATTTTACACTATGCAATCGAAAAGTGTCAAAATAACTTAAAAGTTTGTACCGCATTACGTCATTGCGCGGTTTAGACGAATTTCGAATCGAATGTTAGCATGTGTATCGTGATTTGAGTGAGTTAATTAATTGTAGTGTTTGAAAATAATATGACATTGATCATATTAACTATACCTGCAAATTAAAAAACATTTAAAAAATGTTTATCAAAATATATTATATTTTAACATTTTACACCATAATTTTATTTTAAAAGCCTAATGTGTTTCGTTTATAAATTGCTCCTCAAAAACAATAAAATCAAATAAAAACTTAAATTTTCACATAATTTTCAAAGAAAATTGGCCTACTAGACATTTTTTATTAGCTTGAAAGAAAATTTTTCTTTTTTTAATCGGTTATTTGATTAATCGGTCATTAGATTATTCCAATTAAAGGATTAATCAGAATCCAATATAATAATGGGCCCGTTCACTTTCATTTTTGAATGTGAATTAATTATATATTTATAAAGATATTAAACTCTTTTGTCTGGTGGTACTTTTCCCGTTAAGATATTTTTGCTAGAAGTAAGGGAATTCCCATAAAATTCTTTCAGTGACTCATTGCGTCAGAAAATCCCTAATTCCGTTCACTTCTCGTATCGGTTATGCTTAAAGACGGCGGGGTTGTCGGAAGTATCCCTAATATAGCATTTCTGCATTTATATATGTAATTTAAATAGTAAAATTCCATTATTTTTCTAAAAATCATGAACTTATATTTTCAGATTTAAAGCTGGGATCTTATTTTTTACTTTTTAATTAAAACAATTATTATTACTCAGGCTGAAAATTAACCAGACCATAATCAAAAAGTAGAAATTTGATTTGCAATATTTATCTGGTAAACGTGGCAACGTTGCATTTATTTCTAGAAGTGTGTGTAGACAACACTATTTAGAAGTACTTACAACGTTGTCACGTTTACCAGATACATTTTCTCAAATAAAATTTCGATCTGGTAATATTCAGCTTGAGTAATACTAATTGTTTTTATTAAAATTTAAAAAAGGTAGGGCTTCCAGCTTTATCTGAAAATATAAACACATTATTTTTAAAAAATAATATATTTTTGTCATGTAAATTTCTTTAATAAGTGCAGAAGAGGAATGGTGGTGCAATGATACATCCGACAACCGCGCCCTTTTAACTATTAACCGATACGAGACCTGAAGGGAATTAGGGGTTTTCTGACGCACTGAGTCACTGAAAGAATTTTATGGGAATTCCCTTACTTCTAACAAAAATATCTTAACGGGAAAAGTACTACCAGACAAAAGAGTTTAATATCTTTATAAATATATAAATATATAAATAATTCACATTCAAAAATAAAAGTGAACGGGTCCATTATCTTTGAAAAATCGAAAATATCCGATTAATCTAAAATAATCCATTAATTTA